CTGGGGGCCTCTCGGGGCAGCCGCGCTGCTCCGGGCCATCTGTGGGCTGCTGGCGGTCTCCTCAGGGCAGAGCGGAGGCCCAGGGCCGCTGGCACCTGCTGGCTCCTGAGGGTAGGGGAGCTGGAGGTGTCTAGTCCTGCCTCCGGCCGCCTCCCAGCAGAGCAGCTGGGTCGAGCTCCTGGGTGGTGCTTCGGGAGGGGAATGAGCAACGTGGGAAGGTTTTTAATGTCCTGTCCTTGCTTTAAAAAACGTATTTTAGCGTGTGGGTGTTTTATGACCACAAGCTATTGGGAGGTCGTTTGCAAGTGCAGTGGATTCCTGAATCATGTAGCGATGGTGTTCTGACTTTTATTCTTTTTTACGTGAGGGGGAAACTTGCGTTCATGTCTTCTGTGTGCTGTTTGTTCTCTTCCATCTTTTGGCACTGTCAGTTTGTAAGTCTAGTGGCTATTATTGTGTTATTAATTAGTATGTGCCAGGGAATATTTTTTTTTAATTATACCCAAAATGAAATAGCATAAATAAATAAATAATTTGGAAAAGCTGTAGAGAAAAGTAATGCCCAGCCTGAAGTATGGGCTTCTCCCAAATATTCTAGAAGTTCTCTGCAAGTTCATATACATGTTATTGGGTATAACGACAGCAGCCTGTCAGTAATCATATCAATGTCTCAGACTTAAAAAAAAATCTGTAGGATTTAAATTTAATGGTGCCCTTAACTGCAGGGTTTTGTTTCTTTGGTCTGATTTTACATATAACTGTGGTAATCATTTGTGACAATATGGTTTGAATCTTCCAATATTATGCTGCTTTTCACCCTCACTGCCAAAGAAGAGATAATTGTGTAACAGTTCCTGGTGGTATCTTTATAACCTTCTGGACAGGTGATCCGTAAAGACTCTTTCTAGTTAGTTACTTTCTCCTCTTGCTAGGTCTCAGCCTATTCTGAGATAAAGTACCTGAGCGACTGGGGCTTACTGCTAGGAGACTGATTTCTGTGGAGCCAACACAGCTGTGTGTGACATTAAAATTGCAACTAAGGTGGCAATTTTGATAACTGAATATGCTTAGAGTTATGATAAATTTGCAGTGTTGACTCATTGCTTATTACTATATTAGGAACTTACCTGATGTATTATGAATCCTGTCCGAGAGTCTCAAATGTGATCTGAACTCTAGAAGATGAACTTTTTTTATATTGCTGTCATGCCAAAACACCTGTTGTTTTTTGTCTTTTGATTTTTACTTTGCTAGGTAATTGGACAGGCATTGCACAACTTGAAAAATAGTATGTGCTATTCTCAAGGGGTTTTACTACCTCATGAGTCTTCTTTCAGACAATGCTTTAATGAATTATTTGAGTGGCTGCTCTTTTAAAGCAGCATTTACAGTCATGGGGAAGACAACTTCAAAAGTGATACAGAGGGTTGTTGCACTACAGCAGTTCAGAAACAGCGGCTAGTCTAGATAACTTCTGATATCACTGTGCAACTTTTTAAGTTTATGTGAATGATGAATCACAGGAAATGCATGCTTCTTGCTTCACGCAAGACGGTTGAGCAGGTGTCTTAGAGTAAATTTTCTGGTATAAGATTGAGGCAGCTACCTGTACAAAATATGAGAGGAGTAAGGATTCTGCCTTGCTAGTATGTGACGAGCTTGTTTGGGCAGGGAGAACATGGTTATATTTTATCTGTAAGAAGACAGAAGATGTCTTTATCTGATGATGAATGGATACTTCAACTATATTAATGTAGGACAATAGACTAGATCATGCAGATAGACACATATATGCTTATTAACTTTGCAGAGACTGTCATGGCTTTTGAGAAACCTAATTTTTCCTTGAGTAAATACTGCTGGTTCTACTCCCTGGGTGGTCATTTTTATGTAACCACAGTAACTCTAGCCAGTTCACCTGAAAAATCAAATTTTAGCAAGATGCTTTGTGTACCCTAATTCTTCTGCTAATGTTTCATTTTAACAATGCTAACCTTGATCTCAAATCTAGCTTGTAATAGTTTATCACTGAAGCAACTAAGTGCTTTCAGTTTGCTCATGTTTTGTGATGAGAGAATGCTAGAGTTAGTGCTTCCCTGCTGCTCAGTTCCCTCTCCGCAGCTTTCTGTGCAAATGAACAATTTCTGTGGTAGACAGCCTGCTCAGAACCATTTCTGTAGTAGGTTGGTTGTCAGTTCTTTTTACTAATTATGTGGCTCTTAATACTCTTTCAGAACTACTCCTTTGATGTAAGTGGGATTTTAATGAGTGTAATTGTTTTGTTTTCAGAAGTCTGAAGTTACTTCTGACTGCCTTAGTCATAGAAATCTTATTAATGAGCTTTTGCAACTGTAACTTAGTTTAGGACATCTATTTTCTAGCTATTGAAGAAAGAAACAAGACATAATCATGGCTGACAACAGTACACTGGTGTCTGAAACTGCGAGGAGCCTCTTGGCTGATTCGTCTGTTCTTGATTCAAAAATTATAGAAACCTCCAAAGAGAATGGCTTTCCTGGACCTGTTTTGGATGTTGAAGGTAATGGGAGAAGCTTATTTTAAAACTAGTATGTTTCTGTAATGACTGATTACTTTGTAGGTAGTTAGTAGTTTTGAGAAACCAAAAGTGCTTTGCTGAGCTATAGAATTGCATGTAGGGTAGCCAAAAGGGTGTAGATTTGGTAGCCTTTCACCAACAAAGGGACTGTCTTAATTTTTAATTCATCTTGTTATAAAAGTTTGGGGTTACAGCCATGCAATCAAATGAGTCTTCTGGCTGATGTATAGAGAGCTGTTAGTTCCATTTGGTGTATCTTCTGTGGAATAAATCATTCCAAGTGATATTTTGATACCAGTGTTTGGAAACTACAGCTGCTCTGTTGTGTACAGGTAGACTTCAGAGACATGAATAGTCTTGAGCTTAAAATCAGTTTGAGAACAAATCTTGAAATTAAAAAAAAACAACAAATTTTTTTTTTCTTGCAATGCAGTAGCCAAAGTCCAGAGGCAGTCTTCTGATGCAAATGACATGGAAGCAACACTTGTCCCTTCCTCCTAATATTTTGAAAGCTTAATATGTGCAGAAAAAGAACAAGATATCTAACTTGAGTTCTGATATTCCTTGGTGGAACTGGAAGTAGTTACTAGGAAGTAATGAACCTTGTCAGCCAGGAACACAGATGCTAGAAAAGATACCAGCTGTCTCTGCAAGTCCTGGTATCTAATTCTTCTAGAAGCATGAAGTCAATAATTTTGTTGTTTTTATATTTTTTTTTATAATTTTTTTTTTCTTTTTGCCCTCGCTGAATCTTCTTTCATGTTCTTGCTTTGACTGTAAGGGTTCATGAATTGCGGGATCTTGTTTCACCATATACTAGAAAGTTTTAGGCTCTGTGACCAATTTGGTATACCTTAATTAAAGGACAGGCTTCTTTGAGGTAACGTTTATTTTTGGGCTTGTTCCTGATAAACGAGGCATCTAGAAAGGATGCAGTCTGCCTGTATTCTTCTATACATTATTGCTTGATTTAGACCTAACATGGGTTTTTCTATTAAAAATGAGTATTATCTTTATTTCTCTATAAACAGAAGAAATGCCTCAAATAGAAACAAGAGTGGTTTTGGTTCAGGAAGCAGGGAAATGTGAAGAGCTTCTGAAAGCCTTGGAGGTATGTGGGTCTAAGATGAAACAGTCACTGGAAAGAGATGGTATGCTTCTAGACTTCCAGTAACCAGTTTGGTTCTGTACTGAAGTTCTCCTCTTCCACAGACCATTAAGATAATGGAAGTACCAGTTATAAAGATAAAGGAAACTAGTCCTGGTAAATCAGAAGAAAAACTTATAAAAAGTATTATTCATATGGTATGTCCTGCAATTAAGCACATCTGCTTGCATGCAGCATGCTGTACTTCACTGGGACTGAAATGTGCACACACTTTATATTAATTGGGTGGAATGGTCACAATGTATGCCAATGTTTCTGATGGTGTCACCTAAAGCTTGTCAAAATTGTCACTTTTTTACAAACACTTTCTCAAATATGGAACTAATCTTCATTCGTGGTGTCTTCTAACGGGGATAGAAATAGCAATGGAGACATTGAACTGCATGCTTATGTTCAGTCAACACATAAGTTTTTGCTATGAACTGACTTCATAACCAGTTAAATTGACTTCTCTTTCAATTGAAAACTGCATTTAAACTTAAGTGTAAGAAGCGTCTCTCCATTTCTTTATGTGAAAAACCTAAACTTTGGAACTAATGATTAAAATTGGAACACAGCAAACTTTTAGAGCCCTTAAAAATGTCACCCAAAATTGACTTCTGTTCTTTAGGTCTTATGCAGCATGGAGCTTGCTGTTGCAAGCTGGATACTACTTTTTAGTAGTATCCAGAAGTAGCTTAAGCTGTTCTGACAGTCTGAAATTTCATTTCTCTTCTCCTTAGTTTTGTTTTTTATATCTGTGTGAACTGATACATAAACTACTAAAGTAACTAGAACTCTTATTCTTCAGAAGCAGGAATTGCTTTAAGACTTTTTTTAAGGTGCAGTTCATAGCTATTCTTATGCTAGAGGACAGTGCATCTCAGCTTTCACAAATATTAAGAGTCTGTCTCTACTGAAATCTGAATCATATGTTTTCCTAATGGTCCAAAATAAAAATTGGTTGAATTTTTACACTAGCTGTAAGTATGTTGCCTGAATAATTCTTTCCCCTTTATCCTCACACATCAAGGAAATTAAAGTGCCCTACATAAAGACAGACACGATAGAAGAGCTTGGAGACTGTGATTCCCCAGAATTCGAGACTATCTTTGTTGTATCAGACTTCCAAGGTTCTATCTTTAACAACCTCTGCAAAGCAGATTGCCGTGTCGTTGGGCCTCCAGTAGTACTGCACTGTGCACAAAAAGGAGAGGTATGTGTTTTCTGTTGAAATTAGCTGACTAGTTTTCTGGTGCAGTGAGTTCTAAATATTGAGTGTTCAAAACAAAATCTATTTTGCTTTGCCAGTCAATCATAAATATTCTTAGCAAGAGAATTTTAGGAAAGCAAGTTTCTAATATTGTGTTAGAATATTGCATGTAGTGGGCTACAACTACTGCAGTAGCTGTGGGAATTGTTGACCATTAGGAAAGGCAGCATACAAATGATGCTCCAGCAGACACTTGGTATTTCCAGAGTCTGTCATGTAGAGGGGTTGGACTGGGGAGAAAAAAAAAGGGATGGAGTGCTACCCATGAAACTTGGGCGTGCTCTAGTTACTCTGTCAGAATTCTGTCAGATCTGGAGCTGAGGTATAACTGAATATACAGACTGGGACTAGTGTCTGATGCATTTTAGTACTAGGAACAATAGTACTGTATTAAAGATCATGTTAAAACTTTAAAGGTAGCAATATGATTTTGACTAATAATCTCACTTCTTATGTTCAGCCTTTACCTTTCTCCTGTCGTCCACTGTACTGTGCAAGTATGTTGAACTTGGTACTGTGCTTTACAGGATTCAGAAAGAAAGATGAGTTGGTAAGAGGTTTTTTTCCTTTGGATTGGTAAAACTATGTTAAATTTATTTTTGGAATATCCTTCTGTTCTCTCACCCATAGCATTTAACCATGATGAGAGCTTGTATGGGGGGAATGAATCGTTTGTTCTTTTGTTTTGTTGCGTGTCCAGAGGCAGTAGTATTTGAGGATGGGAACAAAACTGTTTCCTTGTCCAAGTCATTTTATCTGTACCAGTTTTGGTCACTTTTTTTGTTGAGTGACATTAAACAGCTCTAATTTAGTAGTGCTTAAAGATTTGTAGACTGAGGCTTGAGATAAGATGATATTTACTCAGTAGTGACCTCTTACTTGTACAGGTAGTAATGTGGCCAAGTAAAGCTCTGTAGTCCTGTTCAGAGCATTTGCAGACATGTTATCTTGCTACCATGCTATCTTGCTAGCATACTATCAGGACTTTAGTCTTGACATATCTAAGCCTGAAGTGGTTTGATGCTCTGGCACTTTGCTTTTCCATTTCGGTGATGCAGTTGGTACCTAGTTTCCCTGTTGGACACCTGGGAATCAACCATATGGTGCCACATCTTCATCTGGAGGGAAAAAAAACAAACAAACAAAAAAAAAAAAACAAAAAACAAAACAAACAAAAAAAACCCAACAAAAAACCAAACAAACAAACCCCCCCAAAAAAACCCAAACAAAAGCCTTTGCCCACTGCTAAGGGTTGTTAGGTTTCATCTGCTAGATTCAAATTGGACAAATCGCAATCTTATGTAAATTCTGGCAATTGCTCTTTCAGGTAGAAATGACTGAATCAATGAGGAAAACATGTTTCAAATCTATTGTGTATGAAAAGGTGAAGGCATTATGTATGATAATCACAAGAGTACTGGTGGCTTGACTAGTGTTCCTCATGCTACACAGCAAGGCTGTATTGAATTTTTAAAAAAATAAGAAGTTGAACAAGTTGTTTCAAGAGCATTTCTATTCCTAGACAATGTAACCTCCTGTAGCTTGCTTTGTGAACTATTTTTGTGCTGCTCTCACTCTGCATTGTACGCTTCAAAAGACATACTGAAAACTTATTTTGTCTTTATTTTTCAGGTTAAACTAGTGACCTTAGTTCATCACATGGGTGGAATTATTCGAAAGGACTTTAGCTCAAAAGTTACCCACCTGGTGGCTAACTCAACACATGGAGACAAATTCAGAGTATGTAAGCTTGAGTTGATACTTCATGGAAACTTTCAGGATTTGGCTCTTGTAGACTGTCTGTAAATGATACTTCAGCTCGTAAGTTGCTGGGTTTTTTCCTGTACTAACAACAATTACATCTAATGGTGAGTTAGTCTCTGTCTGGTGTTGAGCTTTGGCATGGTTTTGTCTCTTTAGAGATCTAAGTAATGTAAATTGCCTGAATGAAGAGATTTTGAAATAGACAAGTATAGTAAATAACAAGAACCAAAATGTTAAAGTACTCAAGAACTCATGTTATCAGTACTTGAGACACTTTAGAAATTGATGAACATTGGCTCATCAGTGAGCGAGTGTTTATCTATCAACATGCCTGCTTTTTTTGTCTGTCCAAGAAATAAATTTTGAAGTAACTTACAAAAACTTTAGTACTCACTTTGTGTACCTCTTTTAAAAATTATGTGTAAGGGTTCAAATCTTCCTTTATGTATAAATATAGTGAAAGTTGTTTTTTTTTCTGGCAACACTAAGAAGGAATCTTTCAGGATATGTATGTCCAGTTGACAAGTAAATACAAGTTTATAGGCTTTTGTACCGTGGGATATGACATAGCAATGCATATGTTCCTTGACTCTTTCCTTGTTTGAATTGTTAGTAGGCAGATGCTTTTTTCCTAGTCTGTATTTCTAATCTTCTAGTTCAAACAGAAGATGTACTTTCTAACTGTTCAAAGCCTCCTTCCACCAACTCCAAGGGGAAAAAGTTTGAAAACTTCATAATCTCTCCCAAGCAGTCATGGATGTTAACTTTAAAATAGTAGCTTTCTCTTTGGTAAAAGCAGACTGGGATGTTGGTCTCCATACAAAGTATCAAAAGCAGAAAAAAGATCCCATGTTCCACTGGAACAGAGATTTGATTTTGGGTTTTTTTTGTGAGTGATGAAGGATATGAGACTAGCAAAATGGTGCCCTTTTGAGTAAGTGTCAAAATAGCTGTTGGTCTGATCTCCTAGTCACTGAAGAATTAATACATTCTAACTCTTGGGAGTTACAGCTGGACATGATTCTTGAAGGAATATGTTCACTTTCTGCGGTATCTGTCTTGAAAAGTAAAAACAAGGTTACAAATCTTTCTTGGCACGGGAAAGACTTAAATGGAAATACTTGGTACAACTTGTGCTCTTCCTGTTTTGTAGATTGCCGTAAGTCTTGGCACTCCTATCGTGAAAGCTGAGTGGATTCATAAGGCTTGGGAGAAAAGGAATGAAATGTAGGTGTTGATTTTTGTTCAGCCTTAACCTTGCATCCTGTTCACCTGTAGTGTGGTGAGCTTCTCTTTTAGTAGTGACATAGCACTGATTTAGTGACCTTTTTGTGCATTTTTTTTTTTTCAGTGATTTCTGTGCAGCTGATGATGACTTTAGAAATCAGTTCAAGGTTCTTCCCTTCCAGGATTGCATGTTAAGTTTCTTTGGATTCTCTGATGATGAGAAAGCTAGCATGGAAGAAATGACAGAAATGCAAGGTTGTTATTTATTAAAGTTGACCTGTGGAAAGAATGGGGTTTATAGCTGATAAATACTTCACTGCAGCTGAAATGCTGGATTGTGAATCCTGAAGTATTAATGAAGACTCTTCAACTTGGAGAGCTATAAATTGATTTTTAGATGTTGGTATATGCATAAGTTCTGGTAGCTGCTGAAGACTTCAAACTTCCTAGGCTGATTGAAACTAGAGAATTTAAAAGGAAATAATTATAGGATGCTTGAAGATATCCTGGAAAACTTGATACATAATATGTGTGTTCTGCTTCAGTTTTCGTAATCAGTTTTGTGATATGCATCTTTACATAATTCACAGAAAGCATCTACAATGTTTACAACTTTGATATGAATCATCACTGGTAAAACACTTGATTGTAAGTGTTCCATTTTTTGTTAGTGTAATAAGATATTAATAATCACATTGACAGTAATGATGTGACAGGTAACTTGCAAGTCTCCAGCCTTGTACTGCTGGAGTTGCATGCAACAGAGCTATGACATGAGAATGGAGCAAGCTTGTAACAACAAGGCTTTCTTAAAACAGATGAAGGTTGGCTGTGTTTGCTTTTTTCTTCCCCTCCCCTGAGCTGTTTACCTAAAGCTACTTATGAGATTGTGACATACACAGGTTCTAGCTTGTGGATGTCTTTAGGGTGAGTATTCCTGGCTTGCTCTTCCAAGAAACAAGAAAAGCTTTACAGAGGAATATTGCATTTATTGCTAGACAGTTTTAAATGCCCTCTGAACTCTGCGTGCTTTTGACTTTTCACTGTCTACTTTACTACTGCGTGCTACATGCTGTTTCCTAAAAGCTGATGATATCTGGAGTGTTATGTAAACCCAACAACTGACAGGCTCACTGAAGTGTTCATCTCTCTCTGGCTCTTATCTCATTAATAATAGGTGCCACAGAACTATCTAGTGAGCTACTAGTTTCTAACAGTAATGTTCTCCAGTCTTGCTAATTTGCTTTTTTTTTAATCTAGGAGGACGTTATTTACCTGTTGGTGATGAAAGGTGTACACACTTAGTGGTTGAAGATAGTACAGTAAAAGATCTTCCGTTTGAACCTTTAAAAAAACTTCATGTTGTAAAGCAAGAGGTTAGTGCTGATATTCATGAAAGACACTTGCTATGTAATGTTCAGTATGTGAGATACTTTTTTTTTTTTCAGAATAAGCCACATGTTTGTGTTTAGTATCCAAACTGCCTTACTATTATATAAATTATTTTCAGTATTTTTAACTTTGGGTGAAGCCCTGGAATGAGTTTTTAATGTCTGGTTTCTTTTTCCTTTAGTGGTTCTGGGGAAGCATTCAAATGGATGCCAGAGCTGGAGAGTCCATGTATTTATTTGAGAAGGTGTGTTAAACTCTCTTGCATAATGCACAGCAGGTATTTGGTGGTGAAATTAGCATGTGCAATAGTATGTGTGGAGCCAGAGAGCAAATGTTTTAAAGCAGCATTTAAGTTCCAGATAATAAATTTTAAATTTTATAAATAGAATACTAGTTTGGAAAAAACTGTTTCACTAAAAATAAGTTCAACCTTTGGGACATAGAAAAAAAAAAGTATTACTGTGGTTTCTAGTTTAAAAAAGAAATAAAATGGCTTAACCCATTTTCCCTCGGCTTCCCTAAGAAGCGTTGTATTGTGTACTGGTTGCTACAATTAACTTACCTTTGCGCTGAGCTGGACACAGTGAATGAAACCACTAAACTAAACTTTTTTCTACTACAGTCAGACAGTCCTGGCCTCAAGAAGTCTGTGTCGCTACTTTCTCTGAATACTCCAAACAGCAATCGCAAAAGACGCCGTTTGAAAGAGACTCTTGCACAACTGACCAGAGAAACGGACATGTCACCATTCCCTCCTCGGAAACGCCCATCAGCTGAACATTCGCTTTCTGTTGGATCCTTGCTGGATATTTCTAACACTCCAGAGTCAAGCACTACCAGTGGAGGTAGAGCTAAAAACTTTAATTCAGACACTTATAATGTTTAAGAGCTCTTTGCATACCCGTGGTAATGGTAGGGAAGTCTTGCAGGTTTTGCTACAGATTTCCTAAGTAATTCCAGGCTTTCTCCTTTTCAAAGTATGGAGAAAGCAGACTTGGATTATAGAGTTCAGACACAGAGAGGCCAGGGTGCCTCTCATCATCACAGTAAGCATATTCATATTTGAAGGAAAACAAGGAAAAGATATGGCTTTGATAAATATGAACTGCTCCTTTTTTTTTTTTTTATGGGCTCTATTGTAATAAAGCTCTATTTTATTTTGGGAATATCTCTTCATCAGAAACACCAAAATCCTGTGCAAGGCCTTCCAAAAACTCAACTCCTCTTCCAGTAAAGCAGTCTGCAAGATGGCAGGTTGCAAAGGAATTGTATCAGACAGAAAGTAACTACGTTGATATTCTAACAACAATCATTCAGGTAAGCTGGCTATAAGGCAAGCACAAGTCAATTGTAGTAAGACATCTAGTGTTTACATCAATCATTGTTTTCAACTTGTGATCAGCAAGCTTTTAAGGGCTTGTGTACATCAAAGATTCATAAGATAACAATGTAAACAGTCTCATGTAACTTTACTGACATAGAAGAATGTTTAGTATCTGTTAATAATAAAGGCTGGAAAACACAATTTATAATCTGGGCTCTGCAGTGGAATTGCAGATTGTATGGAAATTCCAGGCTTCAGGAAAATAAAATATTAATGACTCATTTTTAAGATATTAGAGAGGTGGCAGGGGAAAACTTTTTTAAAATTCTTCCAAGAAGAACAGAATAGCAAACAGATTACAGGAAGAGCTTAATTTCTAGAATGTTTGTTTCCATTGCAGCTGATTATCTACTTAGTGACCTAAGATGTGTGTGAGTAGAAGAGTAGATGAAAAGGGATTATGCTGTAGTGATATATCAAACTCAGTGTTTGTATCTTAAAACACTCCTCCATAACCCACTCTTGCTAAATGGGAGTATCTCAAGATTATGACTGTAGGAAAGTATGATCTGGAAGGAAAATACTGTTGCTTTCATAACTATTTCTTATTCAATGTCTGGTGATTGGGAGGGCATTAACTTTTTTGTCTAATTCATCAGCTATTTCAAGTTCCCTTGGAGAAGGAAGGACAACTTGGAGGACCGATCCTTGCACAGGAAGAGATTAAGACCATATTTGGCAGCATTCCAGATATTCTTGATGTGCATACCAAAATCAAGGCAAGCTGCAACTTCTCCCCTGAAGGGGAAGCTTTGATATAGACTGAATATATTCTATGTGCTTTAGGTTGAATCTCCTGGATAGTGTAGATTCGTCATGGTGCTGTTACATACTGTTCAACACATGGAATTATGTGCAAATCCAAAGTACACTTTCACACTTAATTTATAAATATCTGAAGTCTGAGTGTTCTGCATGTAACTACTTTACCATTTATGAGCTGGCTTCTCCTTTTCCCATTTTAATAACCCTTCCCGTAGGAGGTCTTCTGTAACTAATATGAAACTGGTCAAAAGGGCCAGCGGTATCAAATGGTAGTCTGAATCTCGCAAATGCTTATAACTCATGTGTTTATATTAAAGTAGTAAGCAAGGACTCTTGGAATCATAGCTAAATCTGTGGAATTAAAAAAGAAAAATGAAAAATCAGTGTTTTCCTGGGCTTTATGCATGTTCATGTAAGGAGACTTCTATCATTTGGTAGGAAAAACTGATCCCTCCTTAGATGGATTTTGAACTAATTGCCAGAAACTACTAGCTCATAAAACCGGCTCACACTTCAACCTCTGAAGCAGTTGACCTGGTACTAAGGCCTAATAAGAGATAATTATAATTCCCTATGAGATTGTTTCCTTGAGGCTTTCTGTATTTTATGTTTTGATCTGGATTGCAAGTGCTCTCTGAAGCCATCTCTGGATCTCACAATAGACTATGATGCAAGTCTTCCTCTAATATGAAATCTTAAAATAATGGTGTGTGTCTGTTCCTGTCTGCATTTACCAGTGGGCTTTTAAAATAGAGGAACTTGCAGACTGCCTGTAACTCAGTGGTTTGGGAATTTTGTTGGGTTTTTTGTCTTTTTATTTTAGCTCTTGGGATCCAGTCTAGTTAATCACCATAGGCATTGATATGTGCCCACTGAGGTGAAAGTAGAGCATGTGTGTCAACGTGTCAAATAGGATTCACCTGCAGCATGTAGTGTAGACAAAGTTGCTTGTATGTAGTTGTTGTGTTTTCCTTTGTCTTTGGTTTAATAAAGAGAAGTGGCAGCAGCAATAAACCAATATTCATGGTGAATCCTTTTAACTTAAGGTGAATCCTGAACCTTCAGCTGTGCCTTCCTGTCCCTGTTATTACCTGGCAGTAAATAAGCTTGATCCTTATCAAGCTGATACAGGCTTAACAGCTTGGTCTCACTTTCCTTGACACCCTGGTGCAGTGAATGAGGGAAATCTATTTCAATCCTATCTGATGGACTTAAGAACCCTATATTAGTTGTCCACTGTTAATTAGAATTGGTTCAACTGTCTTTTGCATATACTTTCTTTAATAATCATTTGGGATATGTTCTGTACTTTGTTGGACACTGCAGTGTCATCTTCATGCAGGGTTGGCTAGTGCTGATGCACTGCCAGGCTCTGCTTGCACTGATTCAAAACTACATATTCAGTAAGCCAGAGGTCTCTTGCTTTCAGCTCTCAGTAGACTGAAGGGGTTTAATGTGAAATTGTACAGTTTTTAGGATTGCCTGTTTTGTCAGCATGGAAACGCACAGCTAATTACATGTGTTTGACAGAACACTGACCCCATCTTATAGCTTACACAGATCGTTCTCATCTTTCTTTCTCTCCATCCCTGCATGTATTCTAGGAAGACCTGGAAGATCTTATGATGAATTGGACTGAAAGCAAAAGTATTGGAGATATCATTCTTAAATATGTAAGTTTCTGTTTCTTTTTTATGTGTTAGAGCTATTATGAGCTATTATCTTGCCTTAGAAATAATCCATTTGTAGGAGCTAGCAAACACAAAGCAGTATTGAGTGAGAAAGAACACTGACTTGTGTAATTATATTTTCCATTTAGACTTTTCAGTAGAGTTAGATGATATACTTTGTATAGGTAATCCATGTCAAATTTAGGTGTATGTGTGTGTCCACTTGTATGAGGGGGTAAAAATCCAAATAGCTAGAGTTTGTAAACTGTAGTTTGCAACACTACAGACGTTCTTTTTACTTGGACATTAAAAGGGGCTCTTCCTGTAACCTTAGTTATCTCCTGCCTCTGATCAATTGTAAATAATAGGAAAATAACTCTTCACAAACTTATTTTGTTCTTCTTTCAAGACTTGAAATGTGTAAATGAATAAGGGCTCCTTGTTTTCCCAAGTACAGAATATACAGAACAGGAAAGCTAGGTCTGGGACTGCAATATATTTTAACATAAGTAGCCTGCTAGGTACCTTGTGCTTTTGCTGACCTGATAATTTTGAGGCAAACAGTGTTTGTCATTCAAAAGTTTTCACTCTAAGTTATTGCTTCTGGTGGTTTAATGCCTTTTAAAGGTCATTGCAGTAACTGGAGGAAATACCTGTCTGAAATTTCCAAAATTCTCATCAAAAGCCATCTTGCTAGGTGAGAATCTGCTTTCTACTTGAGCTGCTCAGCAGCTTGTAAGATTCTCACATGTGTACTTGATGTTTCCAAGAGCAGTCTGCATTTAATCAGCAGCATTGAATCTTTGGCATCTGGTATGCAGAAGTGTCTTAACTTGTTCTGTGAACATGCATGGGTTTACAACACATTTTTTATTATTCTTTATTGAAATGTGCCTTTGAGCAGCTTTGTATGGCTCAGGGGATATGAACCTATGTACACTGCTACATAGTATCTAAAGCAGAGCCCTAACAGTTGTTTCTTTCAGTCGAAAGACTTGTTGAAAACATACCCGCCATTTGTGAATTTCTTCGAAATGAGCAAGGAGACTATTACTAGATGTGAGAAACAGAAGCCTAGATTTCATGCCTTCCTAAAGGTAAGTGTCAGCACAACTGTCTTTGAGTAGAACACGAAGGCCATTACCAAGTAAATCACTTAATGCAGTAGATTGAAGAATGTGGAATTTTGGAAGCTTGGAGGAACGTGAACATCTCTTGGTGAGACAAATAGGAAGGATTTGAACTTCAATCCGTCAAGTTCCTTGTAAGCCTCTTTCATAAGAGGTCTAAGTTCCTCCTCTGTTATATGGCTTTCAAGGTGTTTGGTTATATGCATTTGTTGTTGGAAAAAGTGCATTTTGATTTCTTTCTCCCAAATACAGGTCTTATCTTTACAGAAAAGATAACTAGAGCTGCTGCTTTTTTGTTGGTCCCCCTGTCTGTGTTTAAGAGACTTGCATTTCTGAAATAGCTTGTAACTTGCTTTCACCAGCTGTGAAGTTCCAGGGAGGTAGAATCTCTCAAAATTCTTGTGACTAATGAATAGGAGCATAACAGTGGAGATCTAACAGGAAGATGATTTTCAAAGAAAGCATTATCTGAAGATGAGTCTTAAGACTCTTGAACTTTCAGATGAAGGTATATAGTTGATTATAGTGCAGCATAGCTTTAACTCTTTTTTTTGTATCCAACAAGTGTGTCTCAAATAGTGGAGTAATCAAACTGACAGCTTTCAGCTCATGTTTTCTGAGATACCAGGAATTATATCCATGTATTGATATCTAAAAGATGAGGAAATGAGAACAGGTTGTCCCCTGTCCCACTCCACATTAGCACCTGAAACAAGGAGTGAGCGGTTGGTAATATGGACAGTTTAAAACTAGACAGTCTGAGAACATAAATCATGGGATAAATATGGTGCAGATTTGAATATAATATGGTTTTTAACATAATCTGTTAATGACCGAATATGTGGTAAAGGATTCTCAAACTTTTACTGGATTGCTGGTTTCAAGGAAGACAATTTTTCTCCAAGTTTGTGATTTTTTTTTTTTTTTTGAGGGGTTTTGCATGGTGGGGGGGGAATTACTTATTTTCTCCCTTTTCTTTTCCCCAGATAAACCAAGCTAAACCTGAATGTGGCCGCCAAAGCCTAGCTGAACTCCTTATCCGTCCTGTTCAAAGGCTGCCTAGTGTTGCTTTACTACTAAATGGTAATCTAGTGATATTTTTTTATTAGTTTGTCTGTGAAGGTGTTAAAACTGAGACCGTCTGCTTTTGTCATAATTGGCAACAGCTTTTCTCATCTAAAATGAGCCTCATTCTGGGATTAAATTATGCTTAATGACAGTCAGCAAGACCAATTACTGAAGAAGGCATACTTTTGGCTAAATTTCACTTGTTAATGTATTTGCCTGCAGGATACAGGTAGAGGAAAAGTTGGCTTGACAAAAGTTTTGTCTCTTCAAATACAAATATAATTGAGATTCAAATGCAGCTAGAATAAACTAGAGAGCAATTTGTATTGACAAGGCTTACAGCTTCACATGCTCCACCTGATATGAACCACTTGCTGTAATAATGATTAATTAATAAAAATAATAAATAAAACCCCCACACCACCACCCATTGATTCAGTTAGACTTTTATGCTTACTTCTGCACTTCAACAAAAACAGTACGTGGTCTTGCTGATTTTTGAGTAGTTTGAGAGTTTGGTTTTTATATTGTAGGTGAGCTTTTTCTTAATGAGATGTATGGACAATTGCTGCTCAGCCTACTTCCCCTCTTATTCAAGGCTATTTAGACTCCAGGATAGCTGTGATTTTTTTCAGTCATCTTATCTGACTTGCTGTTTAAACTTGAAGTTTTCATATTTCTTTTCAGGCATTTGTAATGTGTGTTTTTTCTCAATTGTAGATATTAAGAAACATACAGCAGAGGAGAACCCAGATAAAATAACTTTAGAGAGAGCTATTGAGTCATTAAAGGAAGTGATGACGTAAGTGATACTATGAAACATGCTGTTATACATTTAAATCTCTGTTCCTTCTAAATTGCTCTTAGTATGTTGCTGCAATAACTTTAGTCTCCATGTAAGTAGACATAACTGTATGTGTTCTTTAGTCTCCCTTTTGCCGCTGTTGTCACTTCAGCATTCCGTGCCACAGCTCTTGAAGGAATCTGTAGCATTGTCACCTAGCACTCTTACCTGAACTACTTCTGGCTGCCTGCCTCAGCATGATGCTTAACTTCCTGTGTCCTGTTCTGTTCCAACTCTTATTTCTGTCTATTCCATCCAGAATGGAAGACATTTGTTTTGTCTTTAAATCTTTCTTCTATGTATATAGCCACTGAAAGGACATGCTATTGGTGGAAGATTAGTTTCTCTTCTGGTCCTGTATTAGCTATTCTTGGCACCGTTCCACAAGTTAATTAGCTTAAAGCTGAAGCTGTTTAGACTGTAAGTCTCACCTCTTTTGAAGTGTAGTGTATGTCTCCAGCAAGGAGACCTCTTGTATTAATTGGGTAAATGTTTGTCTGATTTTAACAACAATGACAACTTTTAAACTGTAATTATTCTTGCGTTTGCTGCTTAGTGAGCTGCAGTCCAGACTCAGGGGGATAAAATGCAGGCTGTGAAGAACTGCATTGCCTTGGTCTCTAGTTCAAAATCTTATGGGGCAGGGGAGGGGAATTGTATATTAACTGAATGGTGTGTCAGCTACTGATAACATGACAAGAACGTTGTTCTAGGTCTGAAGTTTCCTGTGGGCTTAACATATGGCATTTGGATACTTCAATGAGCAAGTGTAGTTGATTTTGTATGTTCCAGTGCTGCTGTGTAAACTGTATCTCTAAATGTTTAGATTAATTATTTTTGTGTCTTACTATTGCTTCATATTGAAAATAAATTTAATATACTTCCCTCAGACATATTAATGAAGACAAAAGAAAAACAGAGGCACAAAGGCAGTTCTTTGATGTTGTCTATGAAGTTGATGGATGTCCAGTAAGTAATTTCTCTGAAGCTGCAGGCTTGTAAAATGACTGTGCTCCTTTTGCAAAAGTACCTGAGGTTACAATGCAGTGGTGCTGGTTTAAAGAGATTTCCAGCATTAAGTTGTAAGCAAGCAGTAATCCGGCCCTTGAACTAAATGCTTAATGAGATTTTTGCTTCTGTCACTTAGGCCAATCTCTTGTCCTCTCACCGAAGCTTAGTTCAGCGTTTGGAAACTGTAGCACTTGGTGATGACCTCTGTGACAGGGGAGAGCAGGTCACCCTCTTTCTGTTCAATGATTGCCTAGAGGTAAGATGACTGTATAAGTGCATCTCGTGAATTGAATTATAAAAGGCTTAACAGTACTTATGAATATAAACAAGTAAAATTTAAAAACTTTAAAGTAGGATTTTAAGTCACAGGAAGCTGATGGCTCAACCCATGCTGATGTTGCCTTTCCATTAGCAATTGCATAAGCCAATACAAGTAGCTAGTCAATTCTGGATGGTTGAGATGTGTTAATGTAGCCTTAATGTCTTTCAGCCAGATAAAATATTTAAAAGCAGCTTAATATGTTAAGAAATAAATGCCTATCTGAATAGCAGTACCCATGGATGAAAAAGTGCTGGAGTTCTTGGCTCAGCAGGATGTTTGTCTTAAAGTTTAGTCATATTTAATGTGAGTAAATAGTGGGCCTCTGGGGTAGGTCTGTCTGTGCTTAGGCTACAAAAACATTTTTTTCATATATTAAATACCTTAGTCTAACAGTGTGTTAGAAGGAACTAGGAGGGAAAAGTAATCTAACTGGGTTTTTGAGACTTGTGTGGAGAAAATGAGGTTGTAAAGGACATCTTATGAAAGTACTTGTTACTGCCTACAGCAGTAAAGAATGTTGTCTCCACAGAAAACCAACTCTAAAATAATCCAAAAATTAGTGCAGCAGCATTTAGAGACAAAAGCCTATTGTTATTACTAGTGATGAACCCTTCCTGGGAGTCAAGTTGACTCAGCTTTCATCACTTATTGTAAAGGAAGAAAAGAAAAATGAAAACACTTTTTTTTAAAGCTTCTTGGCTTATCTCTTGTACAATGTACAAGCAGCTGAAGATACCTTACACAAAAAACGTGTAAGATACTTATGTGTTAATGCAAAGTAAAAACTGACTGACCAACCTCCACTGCAAAAGCCACTTGATGGCTGCATGCACAAGCAACAGTAAGTGATATTTCTAGGACATAACACATTATAGCCGAAGTTCCTTTGTGCATATAGATATTGTTTTTTCTGTTTAAATCTAGACTATCTTGTGGTAGGTCTCAAAGGGCCCTTACTTGTTATTCAGTGTAGAATTGAGGTCTGTAATGCAAAAATACTTCCCCTCTTGATCTGTTGTTTTAATTTATTTTATTTTTGATGTTAGTGTATTGATGCGAGTAACAAGTATTGCTGGGCCACTTGAACTGTAGACAGTGAATAGTGAAATAAGTGAGTTCCCTAAGGATTTGTCTAGTAGAGTAAATAGAGTAAAATACTCTTTATTTTTCTGTAGCCAGGCTTTCTGTGCTGCCTTGTATACTAGGAGGTAAAAGAGTAGAAGAGAGACAAAACAATGGCAATAGACCTTCTAACTTGAGCCTCTGTCTTCTATTTAATTGCAGATTGCAAGGAAAAGGCATAAAGTTATTGGTGCTTTCAAGAGTCCACATGGCCACACGAGACCTCCTGCATCTCTCAAGCATGTTGTCCTCATGCCTCTCTCCCAGATCAAGAAAGTCCTAGATATCAGGGAGACAGAAGGTCTGTATGTTCTGAAGTGCTGTGATAGCTAATGAAAACTGTGGTTCAGAGGATGAAGGTCTGCTGTTATGGATAGAATGCTAAGCTGTGTTTGTTGTATGGTACGTTAGGTATGTGATTTTTTTAATATCGGCTTCTCTTTGAAGCTCTGTATGAGCTTGAGCATTCCTTCCATTGACACCTTTTGGCTTTTCAAGACTCCCTGAAGGATCTGAATTTGGCAGAACTACTATAAAGCATTAGCATAAGTGAACCAAATGGCAGTGTGAGTTAGAGGAGTACACTTGACAGCTCTGGATTTACAAAACAGAAAGTCAAACCTAAGTCCAGAGCATTAGACTGCTGAGAGACAAGTGCTGTTGCTGTGAGACTAGATCTTCATTTAACTGGTGATAATGATGCTCAGGCGGAGCTGTGCTTAGCATCTTACAAGAAGGATTTAGATGACTTAATTTCTGTGGCTGCTCCTGAGACTGTAGGGGTTTCACTGAAGTAATGCATTGCTACAGCAGCAGAAAGCTGCTACAATACTGTTCCAGTCTTGACAGTGACTTCTAAAGAAGACTAGTTTCTAGGTCTACACATATTTGATATTTCGTTGTAGGTGATGTGCACATCATACTTGTTCTGCTTTATGTTCTCTGAAGCACCTGAACATAGAAACCACCCCAAAAAAAATTATAAAGAGGGTGGGTAGTAAATGTGATGCCTAACTGCATTTTGAAAAGGTATTTTAGGGTTTTTCTTAAGATTTCTCTTTAAATTACTGTGTAACACTTAAGTTTACTTTGAGACTTAGGCAATGGGAGCCATTTGGTGGCATACTATTTCATGTTTGCTAAGAACTTTAGTACACGAATCTTGGGACAGATCAGGCTCTCTTATATAATTTCTCTTAAAGGACTGCTTTTCTGAACTGGCACTGGTTCTTTCTTTCTTTCTCAACTCTGTTTAGCACGCTTCAGCTGTGTGTGCTATAAAGGAGTATCAGCAGTGGATTAATTTTCTGCTATCAAGTGAGCAATGTTTGTCAAGTTTAAACAGTAAACTCATTGTAACTTGACTATTTTAACGTGTCATATTTAGCACTGATGTCTTTGCTCTTTCCTGCTTTACAAAGTAGGGTAAACATTGTTTTCCTTGTTCTCTGTTGATAAAGAAACAATCTGCCCAACATTTCATGGGTCAGAGAATGAGACTGATGTTTACTGCTATATCCAATGAAGACTGACTAGTTTGCAGACTGTAGTATGCACATTATTTGGTGAATAAATAACTGTTGCATGAATAGCTGATTGCAGCCTCATCATGAAGGATGTGGACAGAACTCAGTGCTGCTGCAAGTGATACAATAAAGATAAAATCCTTACACCAAATCATGTTGTTCCTAACTCTAGCTCCTGGCAGATGGCAGGCTAAATCTTTTGAAGGTTCCCCCTGAATTATATGAAGAATGATTATTCTTTGTCTTAAATATTTTTTTATAAACTGTAGACTGCCATAAAGCTTTTGCCTTAGTTGTGCGGCCACCTACAGAACTCAACAACAAGCTACTCAGTTTCCAGATGACAACTGAAGAACCTCCTAAAGAAGATTGGTTGAAGACGTTGTGTCGGCATGTGGCTAACACTATTTGTAAAGCAGATGCAGTAAGTGATTTGGAACCATGTTGCTGATTGGAAATATTTTTCTCTTTTTGGCTTGAAGCACATTAAGCTGAAGAACTTGTTAATAGTGAACATGCTTGAGGTGAAGTAGAGCAGAAAATATTTGTGCTAGCATGTCTGCAAGTGGAAAGTGGTTAAAAGGTGGAAAAGGAAACAGCCTGGAAGTTGGCTTCTACAGAAGCTATAAGTACTTAAAAATCAAGAATTGCACCCTTCCCCCACCACAAATTATTTCTAAATAATTTGAACTGTGCACTGCAGATCTTCAGTAGGGCAGGTCTAAACAGAACTGCCTTTGAGCTTGCTTCTTTCACAGCTTTGTTTCAATTCACAATCCCAGCATTATGAATCATGTTTTCGTTTAACTCTGTTAAGTTGAATGCTTTGTTCTACATCTTATCTGCATGGTTACCATAGTGCTAGAGACTTGAAGCATCTCCCTCCTATAGACAGATGCCTACAACCTTAAAACAAGGAAATAAAGAAAGCAAAGAAATGAAGGAGGCACTGGCCCCCTCACAGTTTCAGAAATTCAGTGTGTGGGCTTTCCACAGCTGGAACCTACTAATTTGAAGAGTAGATCCTCTCCAATTAGGGCAAGATTTTCAGCTAATGTTTTAATTATGTACGAGTGTATCTGTATCAGTCATCTAAATGTGCTGAAAATGTGTTCAGTACATATAGCTGAAACAACTTAGGTTTAAGCTAGAAATGTTTTATGTTCTGCATTGTACTCTCACTGTACAGTGTCTGGTTGTCTGATTTTTAAAGATATGCTTGTTTCAGGAGAAGGTAGTTAAGTAATTAAAATAGCGTCTTAGTTTTGTTTGGCTTGTCGTGT